ATAGTAAACTCCGGAAAACGAGCACACCATACCAGTTGACCAGGATGTGAATAGTTTTTTTCAAATAATTTAATTTGGCATATCACGCTCTATGATTCAAGCTCCGAGTTTAAATGTATTACGAAAATTCAACAGATAATTGTTGTAGTAGAGGAATCGACAAATGACCTTTAGCTTGAGATACCCAATCACTCAATAGCTAGATATCTCTATCTCTGTAATAAGTGTACATATATCTTTGTAAATTTCCAAGCATAGGCTCCTGTTAAATTCATTGTTTTTCCTCAACAACACGTAAGGTCCTCAGCTAGTTTTTTCCTTTAGTCATTGTCTTCGGAATTCATGTGTTTACCAGTATTGTATTCAGTTCGAAGTACATCATTGACTACTGAAATTTAGACTTCGTGAGTACTACAATAATGTTCTTTCTCTGGAGTCTGAATAAAAATAAGGTAATCTAAGTTTCACAAGATGTTTTTAAAAATAATTCAGGTCCATCGGTATTAAACCAATAGTGTAATAAGGGTACATAATGACAGGAAGAATTGCAATAATTAGTCACTTGTAAGCCTATTCTAAATGCATGAACAGGTCGCATTTCATATTATCGAGGATTTGCGGTACGAAAGCCTATTACTTTCACTTGACTTTAAAACTGACCATGCAAGCATTAGTAACCAACTTTTCCTCACGAAAAGCTTAATAGCCATTCAACTTTGATTGTGTTAAAAGGCTATTCTCGTGGAAGTTAGACAAAAACCATCTACAAATGGCTGTGTATCACGTATTATCTGACGGCAAGAGAGATATAGACACCAGCAAGATAATATGAATTAGTTATATGTGATCCACATCAACCTAAGAAAATTCCCGCACAATCATCACTCTTAGAGCTGGGAAGCTCGGAAATCTACAGGCATCTACCCAGATTTACTTAGCACTTCCTAGTTTGTCACTGACTAAGAGAAAAAATTAATAATGAAGTCGAAATTTAGAAACCAGCAGAAAGTTTAGGGGATTAGATCTACTGTTGCTTGATTCCCGAACAACGAACTTCCACGTATCACTCTGACTGTAGCATTATCGATTATATTGAAATGTGAAGAAAAATAGCAGGATGGTAATGCAAGTGGAATACAGGCTAAACCCAATGCTCTAGTATGGTGTTCTTAATTATGTTTAGTGACTACTAAAGTCGTTTAGTGTGTCTTCAAGGACATCTTACTAGAAGATGGCACTATATACATCAAGAATATGACTTTGCTTGAGATTAAAATCACTCCATATCTTTCTTTCTACTAACTAATTCTTTCTTCCTGTACTGTATCCTTATATGCAATTTTTCTCCTATATATTACCACCTTTGACCTAACCACTCCTATGAATCCTGTGTTCATCTTGCTGTTCTAATGCGGTATGGCAACCTGAACCGATGCATATATGTGCCTGGTCTTACGTTGTAGCTGACTGACTGACTGTTATCCTGATTGTTGGTCAATAAAGTTAGATCTGTAAGTATTGCAAATAATGTAAACAGTAGTTTGTTCTCGAATAACAATGGAGATGTTTATCAATCGATCTCTGTTAACTACTGCCCAGTTTATTGCATTGAAGTTTACTACTAACCAGATAAGTAAATAGTATGGAATCCAGTTATCTAGATATAATTATTTATCAGTGGTTGATTATTTGGCAGACAATAAGGTTTGAAGTCTTATCTTCCTTGAATTTAACCATATCTTTCCTTTTCAATTATAAAGTAACAAGTAAACGATTGTGTCCGCAGTTATAACAAACAATCATAAAAATGTTCAATCCAGTACAACATCGGTGAAGGAGAAGTAGAAAATATGTCATTAATAATTAATGGAATCGGGAAATTCTATTGGAGCAGTAGATACAAAACTACCTCAGTTTCCGTTTGAGTTGATTTTACATACTTAATGATTATTCTGCGAGTGAATGAGAAATTCAACGACATATAAGCATGTCCTAGTGGTTACAGATCGTCCAAACAAGGAGTCTTGTACCATATTTTTCAATCCTTATAAAGACAGGAAAAGATTTATAAGGGTTTTCGTATCGTTCCCTTTTAGGATTATGTATTTAAGGTTAGAAAAAGAGGTTCACTTTTGAGGTTTCTACCCAAATTCAGCTATCATATAAACTCCTGTGTAGGCATATGATGCATGAATATCACTCAAAGAACGCTGCACCGTTTGTTTAGTTTAACTATGAGATGTAGTATCACAATTTTAATGCTTATTTATTGACTATGTATTTACTTTTGAGATTTATGTGAATAAATTGACCATAAATTCGAATTGTTTTCTATACACAATTTAAAGAGCCGTGATTAAACATTTAGAAAGTTCGATCGCACAATTTTTTATTTTCGATAGAAAAGTATTTTTGCCATCGCTTTTAACATTATGAGCAGTATATATAAGTAATTTCAAGCATTCATTACTGTTCAGTCACTGGTGTTTCCTTGGATTTTGGGCATCATCGTATTACGTTAATTTACTCGCTATAACTTTATTCTTTACAGTCGAGGAGTATGTTGAATAGGGTTTGTAGCGGTTAAAAATACCTGAAATCAATAACTCTGTATGTCTTCAAAAGTCGATACTGTCTGCATTAGTTCCAATTGGCACACCTTAGCTGAGAGCGCTTGGTCACGCATTTGCATCAGATCAAGTGTAGGTACGACGTGCTATATATCCCTTGCAACTGCTTACCAGTTTAGACCAAATGTTCCCCGACAAACCGATGGCCTTCGAAATTCATCTTCAAACTTCTTCATTTCCGACTTCCGATTTTACAGGGTTTTTATATTCGATTATAAATGTATTACTCTCAAAGGTGTTGACAACCTCCGAATATTTGTAGCATCTTTAGTTTATATAGTAAATTACTGGATTGAGTTCTGGGTTGAAACCATTACTAGGAAGATGATTTTTTGATGGATATTGTGGATTACCAAAGTAAATGGCCTGTGTTGAATGATTGGGGTTCCACTCGATCTAGACGGGTATGATGTGACGAACCAGTTAACTATAAGTCTTACCTTGCATTCAGCATCTAACGTGGATTACCTTTTGGTGTATCAATGTACTATGGCTGCTTCGAAGACCGTACAACACAAAGGACGTTATTACGGAAATATATTAGTAAGAATGGGTGCAGAGAATATAGTAGGACCACTAACTCATGGACCAGTTTGTGATGTACGAATAATTGATACGGTTGAATGATAAATAAACGCTCATCTCACTGTCTTATATTCTTATATTTATGGTCTTTTTCAATGACAAAAATTTAGATCCAGCAAATAACTTGAGAACTGATTCGGATCCAAATGTTTAATTTTGAACCTAGAGAACCTAAGGCGTAAATTTACTCAATGCGGTACACTACTTGGCTACTTGTTTTGCTGTGGAGGTATACTAGGTAGTCTGTGGCATAGGTGAAAGAGAATTCATGACTCTTGGTTATAAATTCTACTGCGTTTCACGCTGTTTGAAGTAGAATTCTTTCGTTCCTAGTTCAACAAATTGTTTGTTCATTTCTTGAACATTTGTGATCAACTCAAATTTGTTTTCGTTTTTGAGTTTCAAACGTCACTTTAGACGCTTTGGACTGAGCATAAAGGGCCGAATAAATATTCAGGCATTGAGATATTCCCTCTAGAGCGTACTGAACTAAGTAATCTGACTCTACTCATTTTTAATACCTATCTATCAAATTTCTCTTCTCAGATAAGCATAATTCAGCCTACCCACCTTTCTAGCTAATTATTTTCTAACTCACTGTGCCTTTGACCAATGTTTCAACCGTGGCGTGTGGATATCGGATGGTTGTCGAAATAAGATGAAGCGTTGAGTGAAAATTCGCATATTGTACGTTTTTCAGGTTTCACTCCATTTTGAACCGTACTGTGTTCAGTCTCTCCCTACGTACATTGTGTAGCAAATAGAGCTACATATTTGTGCCAGCTCCTATGTTGTTTACGTTGGACTAACTAAATAGCCATAGATACCCTCCTCTCCGTCTTTTTTTAATACATGGTAAACTGGGGAGTCAAATATTAAATAGGGGGTTGTTAAAGGCAACGAAGTAAATATCTGGCAGTTGTGTGCAAATGCGTTTGCTGCTTCCTGTACAAAAGGACGAAAACTGACAGGAAACCAGCGGTAAATTACAAAGGGACAGTGATCTGCCCTCTGTTTTGAGTCTTTCAAACAACAAAAAATGATTGAAAGTAGTATTGGAAGGTCTTATGACCAAAAACTCAGATTGCTCAATCATCGAGCAAAATTAGTCACACAAAAACGTCGAATATCCTCTATTTTATAACCTAACACCATAGCAGCCCTGAAGTTATTGTAACGATTTGGACCTCCGGTGTTTTACTGCAGGCCAAACGAAATGTGCCAAATTTTTATTAGTACTCCAACCGCTATCCGAATGACGCTTTCGGTTATTTCTAATTTTACTTCTCAAAGGATAAATACATGCAAATAACCCTACCAACTTTTCCGGAGTGCTGAAGGATTCCTGCTACATGGGTCCCTCCTGCATTTATTTTCTGTTTTTCACTACTATTATCATTTATGTTTTGTCGATTTCACTTCCCTGTGGTACTTAAAGAGTAAATGCTAATAGATATAGATGTATATAGGGTTCAACTCCACCTGTATTTCATTGATTAAATGTGTAGGTAGTGAGGTAGCTGTACATGTCCCATAGTATTTCTAATTGATAGGCTATAATTTCCATTTGCGCGTGACACAAAGTATAACGATTTTCTGTTCTGTTTAGTTCGTGTCAATGATACCCTCGTCCGTTGAAGTCATGTACATGCACTACCTTGAATTTGAACTACCAAGTCATATTAATTAACGTTGTTATGAACAAATCATCGTTAAAAGTAGTATATAAAGCAATTATATGATCTGAACGTTCACTCACTTTATGCTTTTCTTCTTTCTTTGCAGATGTCAGAAACTCCCGACACACTGATTAGTCTTGAAGAGTTAGAAACTATGTTTAAGGATAGGTATACGGACAAGGATGTTAATTATCAAAACTACTTGTCGAATGCCAATGTACCACCCCCTGTCATACCTCATTGGGGTACTCTTGTTTGCTACTAAGTTATGACGAGTTTTAGATGAAATAAATCGGGAAAGATTCAATCATCGGGATCGGAGAAATGTAAGTTTTATTCGCTTGTTGATTTGATTCATTTGTTTTATAGGATAACTACAGATTTCAGAGAAACAACTTCCGACGTAACAGTTTGGATTAATTCGATTCATTATCAGATCACAAAACTTTAGGGTAGTTTTTGTTTGAATAAACTTTTATACAAACTTCTGCTTTATTTCGACTTAGAAAATGTAACTACCGTAATTGGGAAACTGAAAAATTTAATTCGTTCCATGAAAGGTTTAGAATTGTTATTTTTGAAGTGCTTAAGGATCGTCTTGTTGATTTGAATTGACGGTTCTATATTCCTTGGTATGTCACTGGTTATTTTGGAGGTGCTTACCATCATATTGTCATTTAAAAATTATTGTCGGTCGATTACTGGTTCCAAGAACTTTATTATTACGTGTTTTGATATATTGAAAAGGTGGAACACTATAGTTAATAGACTTCTGATTAACCATATCTAGCTTTTCAGTTCTTCTGTCTTCAAACAAAGACCTGAATATGTTTTCCGATTGTTCGCCAGATTATATATGATTTTCTAAGTTTCAATGCCGGGGTTGAACTTGATAGATTTTTATTCACAAATTAATACAGTGACATGTCATACGAATTCGCCTTGACCAAAAATAGCTTGACATTAAAATATTCAGACCTATTATGACTTGTACTAACAATATCCCGTATTGTTTCCTTTGTGCTATTTAGTATTGCGTTAGTTTCATTTCATTTATTTATTTATTCTGAAGAAGTGGCATACACTAAGTCGCGAAACGTCAAAAATACAATTTTATACTCATTGAGATATCACAAAAAATATGTTTGTTGTATATGATTTTACTCTATATCTGAAGAAACCTTATTGATCGTTTCCAAGCATGTGAAAATATCAATGTTTCAATAAATTGTAATGTCTCCGGTTATTGATTTGATTTATTCAGTTAAGCGTAGGCTACTGATGTTGTTAGTTTCAGACAGTACGATACACTAATTTTCGTTAATATCGGGGAAACTTATTAACTTGTTGGTCCTGTCAGTTCATTCATTTCAGTCAGATATTGTTTACTGTTGGTGGGTATATTAACCAGACTTTCATCGATTATGAATCTTACTCTGGTTATTAACTAGAAGTGATTTTTTGGCAATTGCCTTTGCATTTATTCCTAACTTGACTTTTTTAATGCAACATGTAAACGTCCATTGTATTGTGCACTCTGAAAACTTAAACAATCAAATTAATTTGAAATTGATTCTCATAGTGAACTTATTTTAGCGAAAGAACTACTGACATCCGTATTTCGTAGGTCGAAACTCCTCAATGACATACACGTTTTACCCCATTCAGCTGATGCGAATTCGTGTTGACAATCGTCTTCAGATTATGCAAAGCAATTCACACAGTCATCTGATAAGCCAGTTCAATTAGGTAGCCCCAGTCTCTTGCAAGGACTTAAGAGTGTAGTTTACGTAACTTGTAAAACTTTATGTCAGAAACGTTTCAATCCATGATCGTGAATTTGTCATGAAATATTGCCATATATCAATCCAAATGTTAAGATAATCTATGACTGTTCACTAAGTCCCGCAGAATAAAATGTGTGCGAACCCATGACTTATCAATATGCAACTTAGTGATTCATTTAAGCAGTATTCCTCATGTTTCAGACATTAAAGTTAAAGTATTGTGAAACGTTAAAAAAATTTCATTATCATGATTATAACGAACTTATCAAAATGGAATAAATTCTCATTACCAGCCAGATTCAAGTAGACAATCCGTTATTATTAAACTGAATCATTCTTTTAAAATCGTTGCAAAAGATCTTTTGGTGATAATCAGATTATGAAAAAAATTAGACATTTTTGTCGAATTTGTTAACTACACCCTTTATTTATATGACAAATAACCGAAGTGCATAACATAAACATATGTCACTTCATTGCCTTAACTTGTCTAACCATGTACTACAGCATGATCGCAGCATAAATATTTCTATTTCATAAAAAAGATTTTGATACCAACATGAAATAGTTAAGAAGAATAAAACAATGCAGTGAACATCTTTTCCGGAGAATGAAACATACCTATATTCTGTAACCGTAAATCGCGACCCCCGAACTGTTTTCTATAAGAAATTTGGGAGGTGATTTAGTATCTGAAGCAAGAATGAATTTTTTCAATAAGAATATACCATTATATTTTTATTTGCATGAAAATACCGTATTATTACTGCACCCAACTGCATCACAAGACAAGCCCTCACATGGGATCCTCAAGGCCAAAGGAAACGAGGAAGACCAAATAACACATTACGGCGAGAAATTAAGACAGACATGAGAAAAACGAACAAAAATTGGATAGAACTAGAAAGGGGAGTTGAAGACAGCGTGGGTTGGCGAGTGCTGGTCGGCGGCCTATGCTCCATTAGGAGTAACCGGCGTCTTCCTCCTTACCGTATTATTACTATATTTGCCTACTCAATATTGGGTAATATTTGTTCTCTAAAATGTTCTGTAAGTGAATAAGAATGTACATTACTAGTAGTATGTACTGTCGTGTTGTGATTTTCCGCTGATAATTACTTGTCCTATAATAAAACTTGTTTTTTTAAGGAAAATAACTCTTCACTGTCGTTTCCAGGAAGTAATTCTCATATCTTATCATAACTACACCGTTTAGGCTACTACTGCGATTATCAATGATAACTTTGTCTTCAGTCACCTCCAATCGATGCTCTTACCGCTACGTGAAACTTGGAAATTTGGATTATACTACTCACAAATGTTAATCAGTAGCACCTTTGTAATGACAGTTTAATCGCCAGATTGATACTACTTTACAGACCATTGTAGTTGCATTCTATGAATATTTCTTTTATTAAAAATTATTTCATCATACCTTTATTGACTGGCCGGACTTGACACTTTTTAGTTTTATGATTCGTCCATCTTCACAAATTTGTCGTTCGGGCCAAAGATAAGACACTTTCAACCCACATCAGTACTCATAATGTCGAAAATTTTGTAAATGGTTTTCGTTCCCTTCACTGACCTATAAGTTAAATATATGTCAGCTATTCAACAAAATTCTGGAGACTAACGTCTTTAAGATTTCCCCTACTTATGGTTTTCACATTATCTCCAATTTTCTGTCTATAATTTTTAATATAATATTCGGGGTAATATCCTTTGACGTCTATCATCCAGTTGGTTTTTGAGCTGAGATAGAAACGTATGCTGACCTATTCTTCCAATGTAGTGTATCTCGATATTGTCACAGTTTACCTTCCAAAACTAATATCCTGCTAGTTTCCAATTTTTCCAGTCTTGAGTTTCGTAAAAAACAGGATGCAAAGATTTTATAGTTTTCTTAGCTGGTTTAGTTCCGGATTTCGTATACTGTCTACTTGCTGTTCTTGAGTAATAGCAGTGCTGAATAAAATAAGCTCTAGCTCAGTGTTATTAGGCTTCCCCTTCAGCATACATTAAACTAATCATCATACAAAACAATTTATGATTGGGAAATGATAAGCCATTTAGAGGAAATTAATATTTCTTTCATTTATAACTCCATTAGTATAAAATAGATTCTTACTATTTCCATATGATAAGTCACATTTTTCATGTTTTTACTTGTTTACAATGTCATTTAATCAAACTAAGACTACTTCAGTGTGAATCAAACAATTTTTGTGGACTGTAAGGTAAGTGATTCAGTTCCCAGTTTACACTAACTTTCTAGACAACAGCACAGATGCCAAAGGTTATTATACCATTCAAATCAATAATAATAATGAAAGAAATAATATGTGCAATAGGAATAAAAGAGTGAACAATTTCTGTACATGTCTTATGTGGAAAATTTATATACGTTGAAAAACATGACAATATCTTTCACTGTAGGCAAACCCAGAAATAAAGGGCAATGATTCATTCAAACTAATGTCTACATCGTAGTAAATGTGTTTGTTTATTACTCTGCTTACTTCATTGTATGCATTCAAAATGAATCAGAAAAATATTTAGTTGATAATTTGTCTCTAGTCAAATCAATGACTTATGGATATTTTCCTGTGGTAAATAAACATCAGTCAAAGGCAATTGAAGACCAAGGAACACTAGATAAATATTTCATTCTAGTCTCAAAACTATTGACAGTTTCCACCCAAAAGCCTTTGATTGATCTAACTCATGATCTTCAGATTTCACAGTGCGGGATGATACCTTTAACCCACTAAATTAGAATATACTGATCGATATTTATATCTTCAGTTAAGTAAAAAGTAAGTTCGGAAATGATAAGAGAATCTTAAAGCCTAAAGTAATTGGTTTTTTCCACACTAAAAACCTCAGGATCACGGTCACTTGCTGAGAATCATCACCATCCATAAATTACAATCGAAAACAGATTGCTTATGAATATTAGGTCAAGGCTAGAGAAAACAATGATCAACGCAGTTACTAAGCCCATTAGAAAATCTTTTCCATGAAAATAGTTCCAATCCATTTGTTTGTTTATTGTCGAACAGGCACTTTATTCATGATCTAAATATGATTATGAAAACCAACAATCGATTTAAAAACATCCTTTCATAAATAATAATAAAACTTCAGTTTATTTCAGCATTCTTTTTCAACATCTTGTTAAACGAAAAGAATAGTGGTCTTAAAAAACAGATGGATGCATTTGTACATCTACAATAAGTTTTATCTTAATCAATAATTATTCGTAAAATAGATAAGAAGGAAAAGAAGAATGTTCATTTGTCCTCGAATACATCAAAAAGTTATTTTACATGGTAAACATTTAAAGAAAATCATTAACATAGATAAATTCATATTAATCTTACTAAAGTTTTAGTTATGGATTTATTAGTTTATAAAGAGGAAATTGTATGACATTTTCTGTGTTCAACGATGCTTTTCAACAAGTCATACATTATTTATTGGTTACTTATTGTTGATTGCTAATTCTACTATCATTGCTCTTCCTTACTTTTAGTATTATTAATATAACGTTTGTACTGATGATATTGTCCGAATAGACAATAGAAATTGTATATTATCAATAAATTTACATGTGTGTATATCTATGTA